AAAGCACTGTACGCTAGATATATTATATATATATATATATATATGCATTCGAATTTTTTTTTTAAAGACAGGGTCGCTGTCCTAAAACTTGCTATGTAGGCATGTAGACCAACTGACTTTGAACAGAGGCCTCTGCCCCCCACAGTGCTGGGACTAAAGACATACATCATTGGTCTCTTCTTTCTTTCTTTCTTTCTTTCTTTCTTTCTTTCTTTCTTTCTTTCTTCCTTCCTTCCTTTCTTTCAAGGCATGGTCTCTTGTAGCTCATGCTGGACTGAAACTCACTATATAGCTGAGGCTGGCCTTGAACTCCAACTCCTAATCCTCTTGACTCTAGTTCCCAAATGCTTGGATTACAGGTGTGCGTATCTGGTTATTGGACTGACTCTTAAGAAACTTTTTTCATGCTGTGGATATTAATTTTACTTCATTTGGCCTAGCAGCAGTCACGTAGATCAGTATCTAGAAATGAGCGTAGCAGTCTGTTCTGACAGAGGACTTGGCTATTTTAGTGGCCATTCCTTCTGCCTAATTTTACTAATCTACTTTCTATCTCTAAGGATTTGCCTATACTGGATGTTCTATATAAATGGAATCATATAACTAGAATCTTTTGTGTCTTCTTTCATTTACCATAATCTTTTCAAGTTTTATCCATGCCAAAACATATGTTATTATTTAACTACTTTTTAATTACAAAGACTATGTCATTATATAGACATAGCACCATATACCATGCATAAAATGAATATACTGTTCTGCTTTTTGACTATTTAAATACTATAAACATTCATATAATTTTTATTTTATTATTATTTGCTTGCTTTCATTTTAGTTTTGAGACAGGGCTGGCTGGCGTTTGTGGCAGTCCCCCTCTCTCAGCTTTACAACTGCTGGGATTATAGATGTGAGCTACAAAGTTCCAGCTCTGTTTTTTTTTTGGTTTTGTGTTTTTTGTGTGTGTGTGTGTGTTTTTGAGACAGGTTTTCACTCTGTATTTTAGATGGCCTTGAACTTGCTAAGTAACCCAAGGTGGACCTTGAATTTATGGATCCTCCTGCTTCTGCCTCCTGAATACTTGGTTTAAAGACATACACCACCATATCTAACCCATGTAGAAATTTTCATATGGACATTCCTTATGGTTTGTAGTGGAATTTCTGAGCCATGGGGCAACTTTGTGTTTAACTGCAAAGGAACTACCAGGCCTCTCCAAAGTAGCTGTAGCATTTTCCATTCCCACTGGCAGTGTATGATGGTTTTGTTTTAGTCGTGGACAACACTATCTCACCTCCGAGTCTTAGCCATCCCGGTGCATATGAAATAGAAGCTTGTCCTTTTCAGTTCCCTGCTACTGTTGTTGTTGAGCATTTTTGTGTGCTCTGTTCATTTGTGCATCCTTGTCGGAGAATTGTCTTTCCAACTCGTCTACCTTAGGATTTTTTTTTATTGTTTGATGTTTTTTATAATCTAGATACAAGTCCTTTATCACATATATGATTTGCAAATATATTTTCATATTCTGTGAATTATCATTTCACATTTTTTAATGGTATCCTTTGAAGCTCAAATACATTTAACTTAAGTGTGTGCGCGTGCGTGCGTGCGTGCGTGTGTGTGTGTGTGTGTGTGTGTGTTTTGCTGGGACTAAACCGAGAGCTCCAATCACTGAGCTACCTCCCTAATCTAAGTGTTTAATTTTAATTTTGATTAAGTTAAATTCATCGTTTTTCTTGGTCATTTGGGCTTTTGGTGTTATATCCAAGAACCATTGCCTTAATGAGATCACAAGGACATACTAATGTACTATATTTTCTTCCAACCATTTTAACAGCTTTAGTATTACAGTGAGGGTTAAGATCCTTCCAAGTTAATTTTTTGGTTGTTGTGGGTTTTTTGTTTGTTTGTTTGTATTTGTTTTTTGAGACAGGGTTTCTCTGTAGCTTTGGAGCCTATCCTGGAACTAGCTCTTGTAGATCAGGCTGGCCTCGAACTCACAGATATCTACCTGCCTCTGCCTCTCAAGTGCTGGGATTAAAGACGTGTGCCACCACCACCCAGCCAAGATAATTTTTTAATGTGATACGATATAAAGGCCCACGTTAGGAACCTTTCTCCTTGTTGTGACCAAATCGCTGACCAAAGGGAGCAAGAGTTCAAATAGATGCACAGTTCAGAGAGGTGTTACCAGGTCCTGCAGAACAACACAAACGCCTCATTACCTGTGACCAGCCTTGCAAATTGAAAGAACTTCTGATCCTGTCTATACCTATGCTGGGGAGGAAGTCTTGCTGGATAAGGCTTTAAGCCTCCTGTAGGGATGAGGACAGAGTTGCTCATACTTGGTGTCATGAGGAGGAGGTCAGCTGTCCTCAGAGGAGTCCTTTCTAACTGCAAGCAAAGTTTAAATCTAAAGCAGAGTTTCTGAGCCACAACACTTGTCCTTTCTTGTAAGAGGCTGTCCTGTGCACAGTAAGATCTTTGGCAGCCCGCCTTCCCCTACTAGATGCTGGTAGACCCCCATCCATTGTGACAACCACAACTGTAGTCAGACATGACCAAGTTTCCTTGGGAGGGATATCACCCCTGATGAGGACCATTGCCATGGAGGACAAAGGACAAGGAGAATCCCAGCGTGAGGATGTACTAGAGGGGATAGGGCAGTTGCTCAGTTGGGAAACACTTTGGGTTTGCCCAGAATTATTTTGCTCATGTTCCCACCAGCATTTCTTGCAGGATCATTGGATAAAACAATTCTCATATAACTAGCACATCTCATATGTGGGCCTAAGTTCATTCACCAGCACCCACAGCAAGGTCAAGTACAGTGGTACACACCTGTAATCTCAGCACTGGGAGGCAGAGACGGGAAGATCTCTGAGGCTTGCTGGCAGCCAGTCTAACTGAATTGGTGACCTTTAGTTCAGTGAGAGACCTTGTCCTAAAAATAGTAGAGGGTAATTGAGGAAGATATTGGACATCAACCTCTGCCTTCCATATACATGAACACAAACATGACATATACATACATGCACATGAATGGTGTTTACACACATATATGCACACACAAAATGTGCTAGATGCAGAGAATTTAAAATGAATAGTTGTCCTTGGAGCCAGGCGGCAGTGTCACACGCCTTTATCCCAGCACTCGGGAGGCAGAGGCAGGCAGATCTCTGAGAGTTCGAGGCCAGCCTGGTCTACAGAGTGAGTTCCAGGCCTGGTTCCACAGCCACTGAGAAAGCCTATCTTGAAAAACCAAAAAAAAAAAAAGTCCTTGCCCTGCAGAGTATGTCATTGCAGAGAAGGTATATGAATACTTTTTTGTGGCTTAACTGCATCCCTAACACAACAGTGTTGAGAATCTGAACCATCAAGATTGGTATTACTGCCATTATTACAGAGTGGTTTGATATTATGAAAGTGGCTTCCTCTCACTCACTCTCTTTTATGCTTTTTGTTCTTCCCCTCCCTCCCCAGGTCCCCTTGTGACAGAACTTCAAGCATGCCAGGCGTGCTCAACCACTGAGCTAGTTCTAGTTTCCTGTAAGCAGGGTTTTCCCACCCCTTGAGCCACTTCCAAATTACCACATTAATTGTAAGTGCTTGACTGAGAGCTCAGGCTTATCACTAATTCTTACGTGTTGTTAATCCATATTCCTTAATTATGCTCTGCTATATGGTGGTACCATTATTAGCATGGCACATTCATCTCCTGTTCCCTCTATGTCTGGCTGGAGACTCCTGACTCTGCCTTTCTCCTTCCTAGCATTCTCAATTTGGCTCTCCTGCCTAACTTTATCCTGTTCAGCTATTGGCCAGTCAGCTTCTTTATTAAACCAACCACAGCAACAAATCTTCACAGTGTATAAAAGGATTTCTCTACAGCAATTCCCCAGCCTTCTTCACTCATGTAATGATGCCTTCTGCAGCCAATGTGAATAGCAGGACCTTATATCCTGCACACTGTCCCAGGCCTTGAAGGATATACCTTGTGGCTTCATTTGAAGTAGATGGAGCTGTCCAGGTGTCAGGGAGGCACTGATCACATTGTATAACAGACAAAGCATTCAGAGATGGTATAAGGAAAAGATAGAAATATTTTCTTAGGGGAAAGACTGGAGAATAGGTTGGATGTGGTAGCATATGCCTATCATCCCAGCATTTCAGGGGAGGGCGCAAGGCAAAAGGATCATGAGTTTGTAGCCAGGCTGGGCCACAGAACAAGTGTTCCAGGCCAGCCAGGGCCACATAGAGAGAGGCCATCAAACAGAAGGATCAGAGAATGAATGGGGCAGGACTGTCCTTGTGAAGTACTGGGGGCCTGGAACACTAGATTGTTTTTCTGTCATGTTCTTTATACTAGGCAAAAAGCAAATTCTGTTCATTTTTATTTTTTTGGTTTTTTGAGACAGGATTTCTTTGTGTAGCCCTGGCTGTCCTGTAACTCGCTCTGTAGATTAGAACTCTGAGATCCACCTGCCTCTGCCTCCTGAGTGCTGGGAATAAAGACATGTACCATCATCAACCAGCACAAATTCCATTCTTAACCTTCTGTTCAAATCTGTTTCCCTTCCAGTGATTGCCAGTTGGCATGGGTCTCTAGCCAAGCTCGTAATGAGACAATAGCCAGGCGGCTGTGGGATGTTAGTTGTGATCTGCTGGGCCTCCCCATGGACTGGTAAGTGGTGGTTTGGACTCAAAAGAAGGTTGGAAGAGATGATGATTGTCCTTCAAAGTGACCAAAAGCTTGAGCGCAAAGAGCAGAACTTTGAGTCTTGCCTGCTTGGCATCCATCCAGTTAAATCCCAGCACACTGCCAGGTTTCTCTAAATACCTTGAGTTTGAATGGACTTACTTTGTTCCTGCTCCTGCCAACATTTCTAGTGGTTTCACAGACTAAGACAGAGGGACTAGCGGACCCTTATGTGACCTGCGCAGCCCCTCTTGTCCTTTGGAAACCTAGTCCTCAGAGAATGGAAGCCCTAGAAGGATCGGTGCATGGCCGTGCAGATTAGACATAGCTCCTCCCAGTCAAACCAACCAACCAACCAACCTCTCCTTGAAGAGCTTCATTGCAACCTCACCAGAACCCCAGGAGTCCAGTGACCTGGCCCAAGAGCAGGCCTTTGTGGCCCCAATGATGGGATACTTAGAGGAACGTCTTCAGTCAATCTGGCAGTCTGAACATTTGCTCATGAAATACTTTTCCATGTCCGGACCACAGGCGAGCTTTCTTCTCTAAAAAGTTTATGGAATTTGAAGGGCAGAAATAAAAATAAAGCCAAACTGTCATTTCCTACCGTTTCTCAGCCCAGTGAGGTCACGAAGCTTTATGAGAAGCTGGGTCATATGGCTTCAGCTACTGACCCCCAGATCCACGGAGGCCTCTGTTTTGTGCCATTGTTTCTCCTAGGCGACGAGAAAAGGAAAGCCCTTTTCCCCGTCACTGTTGATCTTTGTGTATCTTCGTGTGCGTTCATGCAGTTGAGAGTGTTTCCACACAATTCACGGCAGCTACAAAGCAAAAGTCCTAAATCAGACTATAGTTTAGACAATTGCCAGAGTGGGGCAAACCCAGGGGGCGTCTTTGATATTAATGAATACGGCTGCAAAGAGAGGGAGACATTGTGCATGATGTAATCAGTCATGGAGAAGCACAGATGCAGGAGGGAACAAGTGTTAAAAAAAGAAAATTCTGGAAGGGAATACATGATAGGAAGGGGTCAGTTGAGAGTGTAAAACCATGCCGGGCGGTGGTGGTACACGCCTTGAATCCCAGCACTTGGGAGGCAGAGGCAGGTGGATCTCTGTGAGTTCGAAGACAGCCTGGTCTACAGAGCTTGTTCCAGGACAGCTAGGGCTACACAGAGAAAAACTGTTTCAGACCAAAAGAAGAAAAAGAAAAAAAGAAAAAGAAAAAAATCTAAACCACAACTGAAAAATAGCAATAGACACCTATAGAAAGCCACACTTTTGAACTCTGTGTGTGTGTGTGTATGTGTGTGTGTGTATGTATGTATGTGTAGAAAAAGTCCAAAGCACAAAAGTGAAAAATTAACATGTCTTTATTTAGAAAATTTATTCTAAGGTCTGACACTGGTAATTACAGTTAATTTTATGATCTTTCTCTTACATTAGCTTAACAATATTAAGATGTCAATTGGGGGTGGGGAGATGGGATGGCTTAGCACTGGCTGCTGTCCCAGAGGACCTATATGGCAGCTCACACCCATCTAGAACCTCAGTTCTAGAGGATCCAACACCCTTGTCTTACCTCCATGGGCACTGGGCAAATGCGGTGCACAGACAGATGCACATGCATGCACCTACACATAAGTCATCTTGTGTGAAAGACCACAATCTTTAACGTCTAATATTTGTAAATTAATAATTTTGGTGGGCTTGGTTCTGACCATTTAAATACATACTTAAAAATGAGTTTATGGGGCAATTGGAAAACTTTTGATAATGCAGTGAATAACTGAATTAATATTTACTTAATTATATTCGGCTGTCAATGAAAATAAAGGTTCTTTTTAATTATCATGTTTTTAGTTTTAGTTCAAGATGATAACTGTAAGAATTAAACAAAAGTTTAACTGTAGTCTAAAGAAAACACTTATTGTAGTTATGCAGCTATTCCTGTCCCAATGGATCACGTGCCCCAGAGTCATTACAGTACAACAGCAAGCCACATGCCATTAATTTGGGTTGTGATCATCAAACTATGTCCTACTTACCTATTATGCCACCTTCCAAAGGTCATTGTTTCCACAGCTCTTGGTCATAGCAGATTCTCCTTGTTTGTTTCTATGACACAGAAATAGAAGGCTTGGGGCTGAAGAGATGGTACAGCTGTTAGGATCACGTGACTCTTACATGCAAGGCAGGCAGCTCCCAACCACCTGTAACTCCAGCTCCAGGGGATCCAACCCTCTCTTCTGGGCTCCGCAGGCAGTCCACTTGCACTCATACATGTTTTAATTTTAATTTTATTTTCTCTGTGTAGCCCTGTCTGTCCTAGAACTCGCTCTGTAGACCAGGCTGTCCTTGAACTCAGTGATCCACCTCCCTCTGCCTCCCGAGAGTGCTGGGATTAAAGCGTGTGACACTACTTCTGGTCCATCTTTTAATTTTATAAGAAAAAGAAATACAAAGCTTTGCACCACCACTAACAACCTCACACTTTGTCATCTCTGCACAACACATATTACATTTTATTAAATTCAATGATCAATGAATTCAAGCAAGCAGAACCCAGGGCCTCAAAGATAAAAATCACCCAAACATTACCCGCTCCCCTACACACCTTGGAAAATGGAATGTCGGGCTTTGCTTATGCTAGAGAAGCGTTGTACCCCTCGGTTACACCAGCGGCCCATATATATCTTTCCATGTATAAATACTGAACTCTCACGCAAACTTCTGAGAGCAGGCTCTTTGTGTAAACCGTGTCAACAGTATACACAGAAACAAATACCCATGGAAGGCCAGAAAGGACTTCATGATTGTTGATATATTTCACTTAATGGCAGATAAGACACGGCTACACGAGTCTGTCTTCCACACCAGATCCAAAATTATCCAAGGGCAGAGATAAAAATCTATTTTTTCAATATATGACTTGGTCTTTGCACAATATCTATGCTTAACCTGCTGTGAGAACCCAGGCCAGCCTAATGAACTTGGACTGGCTCAGCCCCTAGAAGCTGTGAGTGTATTTTGGTATCACACAGCCCAGTTTCCTCTTCTGAAAGCACGTGACCCTGGCCACTTAATCTCCCCAATAATAGTGTTTTTTCATTCGAGGGCAGGCAGGACTCTGCTCACCTATCTATCTAGGGCTAAGAGTAAACATTTAGCCGAAGTAGTGGCAGAACGAATTGCGGTGACAGCAAGGATGTAGACGCACAGAGCTTTCCTGTCACTGCGCAACAGGACTGGCCTCCCACGCCCCTGCACAGTGCAACCCATCAGCAGAGCTCCCTCACTCAACTACAACCCCCAGCATGCACTGCATGGCCGGTGGGCCCGGATGAGGCGGCCGAGGCGCCCGTCTTGCGGGCTTCCTCGGGCCCTTCGTCTCGGAACCTCCCCAGCCCTGGCTGTCTGTCTCCATGTCGGAGAGAGCTGCTCGTCCCCCCGCGGCGCCGCGCCCTTGGCGTAGCCGGGAGACGTCCCCGCCCCGGCTTTCCGTCAGGCTTTGGTGCCTGGCGCCCGCGCGGTGACAGCAGGGGCCGGGCGTCCTGCTCGAAGGACCCCGGAAGCGCCTGGTTCCGGGCGGCCCAGGAGCGGCTGTCGCGATGATGGCTTCGGGACCGGACAGCTGATCGCTGTGGAGGGAGTGGGCCCTGCGCCCGGAGTCTCAGTGGCCGACGCTCACGTGCAACTTGCGCCATGGCCACCTCCGCCGCCTCCTCCGAGCATTTCGAGAAGCTTCACGAGATCTTCCGCGGCCTCCTGGAAGACCTACGAGGGGTGCCCGAGCGGCTACTGGGGACCGCGGGGACCGGTGAGGCGAGGGCAGGGCCAGACCAGGAGAACTCCGCTCGGTGCGATCCTCCCAGATGTGGACCCCCGGCTCCCCGCTTCCCATTCGGGCACGCCCCCTGCTGCAGTCCTGCCCCCGACGTCCTGGGTCTCCTGCAGCCACTTGGGGCGTGCAAAGGGATAGACATTAGGGTGTCGTCTCCTAGAGATCCTTTCATGTCCTAGAGCCTCAAATTCTTAGTTATCGGCCTCTCCCAGGGGCATAGGAGGTTAAGTGTGCAGTCCTGTGTTTCAGTAAGACGACTTTAAAAAATCATAAGATTAGGGGTTGGGGATGTAAGAGTTTGGTCGTTTGGTAGGCAATGAAAAGCTTTAAATAATTCTAAACATAGAGTTTAGCTTATGGATGAGACAGGCGGTAGGTGAGGGAAGTCACACAGCCACACTGAAGAGGAACTTGACTGTGTCCCATCAAGACTTTTGGATGTCGTAGGGGAAATCCGCAAGGAACCTAAGCAGCTGAGTAATGTGGATTTCATTTTCGAAGCAAGGCTGCGGTAGCTGGCTAGAGGATGTGAGACGGGATGGATATGAGACTGTGTTAGGAGCTTCCGTGGCAGTTGACTAGGTAAGCATGGGACTCTGGAGAGTGAGCCCTTAAATCCAACAGGTGATTCTGAGGCAGATTTATGAGCCTGGTGGATACCAGTAGGAAGATTGATGTTTCCGTGTTTTCTCACGTGATCAGTTGAGTGGAGGAACTTAGATATGAGGAGCAGTTTCTTTTGAGTTGTAGATGGGACTGCCTACCTGTAGAGTGTATTCTGTATCTAGCCTGACAAAATATTTTTCTGCCATTAAAACCATTATGAAGAATATGTATGTAAAGCCCTTAACAACACCATCTGGTAATAGTAAGAACTACTAGCTATTATTAATACCTGGAAATTTGCTTTTATTTACATTTAAAACATTAGCTCTTTATGCAGCTGTTCTTAGAATGCCCTTTTTTTGTTTGTTTGGTTTTGATTTTTGCTCTTTTTGTTTCTCCGTGTAGCCCTGGCTGACCTGGAACTCCATCTATAGACCAGGCTGGCCTTGAACTCATGAAACACCTGCTTCCACCTCCTGAGTGCTGAGATTAAAGGTGTGCACTACTATGCCTGGTCTCAGAACACTTACTTTCTAATGTATTCAGCACTTTATACATTTATGACGTAGCATATTGTTTGTCTCTCTGTGACTAGAAAAGGAGTTTGGAAGTGTAGTCTCCAAATGAGCACCGGGAACCCCACCCAGGGACTTGTTAGATGCTCAGGCCCCACCCTGGCGAACAGATCAGTCACTGTCGTGACAGGTGTCTGTCTTAACTGCCCTCGAAGGATTTCTGGTGCTGGCTTCAGTTTGAACTACGAACTAGAAATGAAATAGCATTTTGTTCTGTTCCGTGTGTATCATAAACTCCCAGGAGTGTAGTGCCCAGCACATCCTTACCTGAGTATGGCAATGCACACTTAGGAGGCAGTTCAAGGCCAGTCTGGGGTACACAGTGAGACCCTGTCTTTAAATATATATATTTGTTAAATTACTGTAAAAATCATTTTTGTTTGTTAAGGGTACTATGAGGTCTTAGAAGAAAATAGCTGAGTAACAGAATAATTTTATTTCTATTTTTCACATTTTCATTACTCTTCATATTGATATATACACCTACTAAAACAACCAAAGCAAAAGAGATGCTTACTTCCCCAAAGTATAGTCTGTATTCGCTCTTGGCCTTGAAGGATAGCTGTCACTGTGTGTCATAGTTTAGAAAGGTTTTGTGACAATCATGATAATGTATGATAATCACTGATCTCTTTATCCCACTCATCACCCACACTGCCCTCTGCAGTCACTATTACTGCATTGCACTTACAAATGCAACAATGAAGAGAGCCCATGTTTTGTTCTTACATCAGATAGCATAAGTACATTGTTAGTCTATAGATAGAACCTCTAGGCCATAGCAGTGTCACACTAGTGTGCTAAAAGCAAATGGTCTTGGTGAAACTGAAGGTTTTTCTCTGTCTAATGAGCCAGTATATAAGGAGAGGGCACAACCTTCATGCGCATTAACTTGAGCCTTTTCTGCTGCTTTTCAAAACCTGTTTCTATTCAGACTATGATGCTAACCCCTTTATCAAATGAAACAGTTGACCCTCCCCCTTCACTCACATCTGACAGATGAGGTATATGCATATTGCTTCCAGTGGCTCACGCTTGGTTTGGGGGCCCAATTCTGCTTTGTGGTTGACTTTAGCATGAATTCCAGCTCCCTAAAAGAGTAAGAGATTTTTTTTGTTTTTGATTTTAGAATATTTTATTGGTTGTTAAAGGATGTATGCTCTAACGCCCTTCAGTTCTATACAGCCATATACAGAAGAGTTGGATTCCAAGTCAAGAGACTCGCTTCTTAAAGCTAATGTCACCACATATATATTCCTTTGGCCTTAGGTGCCAGAGACCTACTTTGGTGGGAGTTCAGGTTCCAAAGTAATGTGTGGAGTTTGGGGCCAGGGAGACGAGGAAACAGACACAATCTGACACTGGACCAGGTTGGCTGCAGGTGGCCTTTAATTGAGAAAATATTACAACTTTTATACTGTATAGTTAGTTGTACATAGGATTGAGTGGGAGAGGAGAGGCTTGTGAGCTGGGGTATGGCTTGAGATCAGGATTGTTGAGGAATCTAGCGTTGATCTTGACAATGGGCACCAGTCATCTGTTATGGAAGGGCCATAAGTTCCACTTGCCAGGGATAAGAAGAATAACTGCATTATCAAGCAGGAACTTTGCTAAGCTCCCAAGGGAATGGAGACCCTTATCCAAATGCCTGACCATGGGAAAAGGACGTCTGGGGAGCTGACACCCTACTACAGTTTCTTAGTCTTACTATATGGGCCTGTTCCCCTCATAATGCTCCCAGAAGGGAAGGTCCTGATGTCTTAACTCTTTTCCCATTATACCGTACCATTCTGATTTCTCTGTATTAACCAAACTCTCACCATTAATGACCTCAGGCTCCGGATCTGAGTTGCAGGCATTTCTTCTTTGGGATCAGGCGCCTAATAATTCTCTAACTTTCCTGTTCTTGGTGTAATTAGGAAAGCACAATGGAATTCCTGGTTCTGCAGTGGTGGGGATTTCTTTCCAAAGAATTTTTGTTTAGAGAGACTACCATTGTACACATTTTTATCCTTAACAAAATTTCCCAGTAGCGAGGATCATTAAAAATAAAAGTAAAAAGGTGCTGAAGAAGTGTGATCTGCAGTGTTGAAATACTGGAACTTTGTCAAGCAGCAGTGACCACCATGCGGTCCATACCACTTAGGGAACATGGCTGTCCAGGTTCTAGTTTCTGAAGTTGTAAAATGGAGTTGGTAATCTCTGAGATCCATCTTAACTGTAATGTTGAGTGGTGGATAAGACTAAAGCATAAGAAAGCAGCTAGTGGCCGCTCAGCTGAATAGACAAGCCTCTTTTGACTCGGAATATTTGCTTTTCCAGCATCTATTTTCCGCAGATGTTTTTCCATCCTAACAGGCTTTTGTGGAGATCGAGGGGCAGCACTAGTATGTCTAAATCATGGTGAGGGTGTTAGGGCTTCTGGCTTCACAAGATTGATATAGCGCTTGGGAAGCACATAATTGTCAAAGACACTGTCTTTGAAAATGTCCTCAGCGGCAGCAGCCTTTCCAGTGTTCTGAACCTCTTGATGGTGTTGTCCTTGGACATGCACCTGTCACGGTTCATACAGCGAATTGCCTGTGCATGACTGTGGTCCTTTTTGGTAATCTTGGAGCCAAGACTGGAAAGAGCTTTTCTAGATTCTTCACCAAAAGGAATGGTTTCTTTCTTATGCCTTCTCTTTGTTTTAAATCTAGGACTCCATAAAAGAGCTCAAACGTGAAGTTCTGTTTTGAAAGGTAATACGTTATCTAGAAGAATAGTATATAGTTGTAGGGCACTCGTAATAGGACACTTGGGTTTTATAAAGTCAGACAGAATTACAGCTCCATCCAGAACGAGTGAAGATACCAGTGACACAGAATTGGTGAAAGCATATCCCCTCATCAAACACTACCTCTCCCTGCCACTGTCACTTTCTTGAGTTATTCTAGAATTTGCCTCGAGTTAATGAATAATAAAGAATGGCACAGTTACAGAAAGATCCAAGCTAGGGAAGGGATACAATACTGCTGCTGTGCGCTTTCTAGTGTGGGTCCCGAAGAGGGTGTGCTTGAGTTTAGAGACAGGCTTTGTCATAGTAGTGACACTTGGCTTTTCTGAGGCACGTTATTACATAAGAGTGCTTTACTGCTCTGTGAAAGTGACCGTTCTTGATTGCAAGTATTTTTCATTATTGGTGGCTCAGAACACACCCCTCAGGAACAGTGACATGCTTTGGTATCCATCTCAGTTATATCATAGATGGTCAAGATGTGTGCACCATTTTCCAGGGCTAAACTTTTTCTCATTTGTATTGTTGTTTAAGTAATGGATCATTGGGTTTTGTTTTATTTTGTTTGGGGTTTTTGTTTTGTGAGCTGTATGAAGACTAGTTTGCTGGGAGTGCCTTGTGTATGTTAACGGAGTACCAAACAGCAATGGGTGGGCATAGTAAGTGGGGAGTGGGGAGCCAGTGGC